AATAATCTTCTCGTTGAAAGTTTATTCTTGGGAACCAAAATTGACTAAGATTTATTGCATCCAGAAGAAGACGTTCTTCTAGAGTCGCGACAGAGTCTTTTATCGATTTCTCCCAATAAGGATAACAAGTTACATTAGAATACAGTTTCATAAATTGTAAAAGTTCTGCTCAATTTTTATGAAACGGTGAAGTTCCTCAGAATGGAAATGGAAAACATATGAAACATTCATTTTGAAAATCGTGTTTTTTATGTGAAAATTTTATGTCGTTTGTTCCTTCGCATTGATTTCAAATTCATGATAATTCCTTTTATTACCCGGGAATTTGTCACTCATAAATGTCGCCTAGCGATCTAATAAAGGAAAGATACCTGTAAATTTATTTCACCTTTTTAATGTCGTTTTAATAACTCCTGTCTGTAATATTCATTTAGAAACCATACCCAGTGACAATTTTTTCAATTTATGTTCAAAAATCAATCTTCAATTTACAGGGGACCTGCTGAAGATGTGAATAAACTTTGTGCATATGGACCTTTTCCCCATAACTCCAAATAATGTCCGCATGTTGGACCTCATTTTCCCATTGATTTCAATGGGAATATTTTCAATTGGTAGAGTCGTCATCGAAATGAATTATCCTCATCATTTTTTTTTAATTTTTTTTCTCTACTTCAAGATACAGAAAATAAATGTACAGAAAAGAATTGCAAATAAGCTGATATTTTGGCAACAGAAGGAGGCCAAGAAGCAAAGAATAAGAACATATCTTACTATAGTGAGCACACTCAATGGAGAAACTTTAAGAGAGAAAAGAAGCAAAGTATTATCCTGTTTTTGATTATGAATCATGGTAATTTCATTGGAATTTATTTGCATGTGTAAATGTATGAATAGCTCAATTTTCTCAAAAAATTAAAACATTTAGAAAATAGAAAGTTTTCAATTCTTCGTGGAATTTGGGAAAAGAGTCCAGAGTCCCACAGCCTGATGGATGTTGGGGCAAATTTTTTTCGTTCTGAGTGTCTTCAACTTGAATTGTTCATATGTCAGGGTGTCTCTATCATATGGGGTCTCACTGTACTGTAGTTGCATTTTCATGCTGTGTAAAAAAGTTATGGAGATCATCCTGTGTCCACATTATGCTGAAATGGATTGGAGAAATATCAGATTACAATAAGTACCATAGCTTGAAATTACCTCAAATATCAGTATCAATTTCTCAGCATTGGATTTTCTATTCCAAAAGTGAACTTGGGGGGCTGTCGTCTACTTACTTGCTTCAACATTGTTCTCTTGGACAGTGATGGTTGAGTCTCTGTCATAACGCTGGTGTTCGTGCTGGAACCCGAAGGCATGCAGAAACTCGTGAATGACTGTTCCTGTGTACCAACACCCTGCAACGGACAGGTTCAGCTCTTGGGATCCACTGACTTTCATGCCCACGTAGGACCAGCACCTGTGATGGGAAAGGAATCCCAGGAAACAAGCGTCAGACTTCGAATGAATTCTGGATCCCCACCCTTCTTCCTATGACTATAAGAAGCTGTACTGTATTTTTGTCCACATGGTTGAACGCACATTTCCTGATGTAGAAAAATAGACTTCAAAGAAATTTCACACATTCTCTGACGATAAGGTCAAAAGAAGAGCATTTTCAAGGCACCCCGCGAAAGAATAACCTCCTGAACAATCCCGAAGATGAATTATTTTCTTGGTTGAAAATTCTTGGCAAAGATTCACTTGAAATTCCCAATCAAAAGATTATCAATTTTATTCACCTCACGTATTTTCAAAAGAAAAAGAAAAAACTGGAAAAGAAAAAAAGGTTGGAAAGAAATTTTTAACATTTTTGGGGTTGAAAGAACGGATAGAAGAGATCCTTGTATTTATACGAATCCCAAAAATCTAACCAAATTGTTGTGCACGCAAATTCATTCTTGAGCTTTCCGGACATGGCTCATCTTAAAAAACTGGATACTCCTTAAAATTTCACATAATCTTTTGCTTGATGAATTTCATTCTCTGGATGTCATAAGAAACGGCATTGGAAATATTTGTGTTCAGACATATTATACCATGTGCAGTGCCTGTATTTATGAATACGATTTCATAGGAAAACCATTAAAAAAATATTACATATTCTTGTTTTTCCACTTCAATCAGGCATTTAAAAACAAAATTTCGAGCATACTTTTTACGATGACCTTTTTTTCAAGGCATTCATATAAATAAATAATTTTTTCCATCCCTGAATGTCACGATTTTATTTTTATTGCCTTGCGTTATGATTTCAATGTACGCTCCCCTCTGCTGTAAACCATAGATTAATCAAAAGATTATAGAAACCAGGACATGTGGGAGTGATTTTGTTTGCTATACATGAAGATGCTACTTTATATAAAATGCATGGATGGAAAAGTTTCTAGAAGTGTTTTCTACGAACTTACAGCAGGCGACTTTCAGAACATTCAATAATTTTTTTCCTGTAACAGCTAAATGAATTTTCAAACTTCGTTATTTGATTGCAAGGGTGGAAAATGGATTTTTTTTCTGGTTACCCATCACTAGTCGTTGTGATGATGACGTAGCTGGTGATGCTTGTTTTTCCATTCCTCGGATAAATCCTGAGGCACGTCTTGGCATGAATCTCCTGGATCGCGGCAGACAAGACTTCATCATTCCTGGCTGAATTGACGGATTTTCAAAAGCTTATTTCTCGGAAAACATCAATTGATTTACGTGCAAAGAAAATGTAAAACTCACTGGCACTTGCGTCGTACTCGTAGTACATTATGCCCCCGGGCCACAGAATATAATCTGAACTAGGTAAGAAAGCCATGACAGGTCCATCATCCTGCAAAAAAAGGCAGATGAATCCGGCTCATCAGAAATCGGCAGGGGTTACACGCACTTCAAGCTAAATTTAACTTCATGTGAGCTGCGTTCTCCGAATGTAATCAAGTACTGTACAGTAGTGTGAGGATCTGGAGGGAATATTTTCGGGGTTGAGTGGGACAATTTTTAATATTTATTTCTCAGACGCCTCACTATTTTTGAAAGGCATGCATGACTATATGAACTGCATCCCACTTGAACACAATTTTAAGTTAAGAATCTCACGAAAGCCATTATAATTTTATGGTGAGATCAAAATTAAATGTGAACTTTAGCTCGGGAAATTCTTCGGAGTGCAACTGCAATAATTTATTTTATTTGACTTCAAATAAGAATGTGGGAACTAATATTTTCTTCGTTTTAATTTAATTTCGAAAATTTTAAATCATGTACCATATACACCAGAAAACCACGCGCAACTTGTTCCTGATGAATCGAATCAGAAAATTGGGTTGGACCTGGTATACCATTGATCAACTTTGAAAAAATACAACATGAAACATTACTGGTTTTAGTAAAAAGTTCATCTGATGTGAAAAAAGCAATGGACAATTCCATTTGGTACCAATCCTCGTTCAATTCCTTATGTTCTTTGAATATCTGGTTTTTTTGTTACGAATCATTATTTGGTGAACGAATTTACATTTCCAGACACAAAAAAAAACTGGGATAGGTTTTTGTGAAAAATATATGCCTAAGTGTGAGTCTTGCCAAGTTGACTTTGGTTTAAATTAATAGAATGCCTAGAAAATTATTGAACCCATCTTGAAGTTCTGCAATCATGTGACATGATTCAAACTTTATTGTTCCGTATTCAACTTCCTACTTCACAATTGAATTCCTTCGATTTTCAATGAATAGTACAATGGTTTTTTTTTTTTAAGTAAACTTGATTAGATCCAAACATTAATTTTGGAAGAATGTTTAGATGAGAGCTTTAATGCTCTCCTTTTGTATCTGAGTCTGTGAGGAATAAAACTGCGTTCCATAGAAATACTCCCGGGAAAATAAGTTTTTTTTACGTCATTTCTGTTGACACAATTATTAACCCTTGGGTGGCAAAGTTGGACTTTTTCTGCACATTTTTGTTGCACCTCAGAGAGGTGAAGAAAAAAATGTCAACAGGAATTAAGGGCAAAGTCAGGAAAAATCCCCATGTTTTTTTCTCTGGGCACAGAAAATTCTTGCCAGAAAATTCAAAAAAAAAATGCTCAGTTAGTCTACTGGCTTTTTTCAGATTTATCCCAACTTTGCCTCAGCCCACCTGGAAGGGTTTTCGTAACCTTTGAAATTATGAAAATGCGGGAGGATACAAAAATAATCCAACTCCATCCTGCTATGGGAAAGAACCCCCTGCCGTCCAACGGTTGAATTTGAATGGATATGGCATTTACAAATTTGGAGAAGGCATCACCGACTGATTTAATTGAATCAGCCCAACAATGCGAAGTACAGTGTGATCTGAAACTCTTGTCTCACGCCGTCAGTGATTTGAGGGACATTTAGCCCGCCAGCCATATCTCCGCCAAACATTGTTTGGTTCTGCAAACCTTCCCGTCTGTCGTCACCTAGAGCTCGTAACACAAGTGAGAATAATACTGCGAAATACTTCTCCAGCTTTCCGAACATCTTGTACACGTTCCTGGAACGAAATTCATAAGAAAAATTATGTTTTGGCTGTGACGATAATCGCGATGTCGCGTACGCATGCCGAATTGTGCCGTCAAATTCTTTGTTTTATATATACTGTATGCGAGAATAAGATGAATTTTCCAAAATTTCCAAGGAGAAATTCAAGTCATTGCGCCGACAATTCCAAATTTTTAATCATATACTGACCAGAAAAATTGTTGTTGAAACTTTTATTATTTTGCCTTCGTCTTATCTTGAAAATGCTGAATATGTTGCGCTTCTTTCCTAAAATGCAATGGTCAACTCCTCTCCATGACACACAGCTTATTTGTGGTGTGAAAATTGATTCAATCCATTATTCGTTTAATAATTTATCAAAGAATATTCCATGAGGTAAATCCAGAGGGAAAAATACTGCGATTCCTCCTGGTTTCAACTTTTTCGCAGGGAATCAGAAAACAATTCAAATTTCCCTCCACAGGAATTTCAGAATCACCAAAACCACACACAATATTCGAAAAGCCTCTCACATCAGAGAATGGTTTCAGACTGGCTTTTCCCTTCGCATTGCTGGCCTTCTTTCCATCATTGACGAAGCGTATGAGTATGCATGAGTATGCGTATGACACAAATTTGTTCAGCCAGCTTATTGGTGCGTGATGCACTCCGATGCCTTTGTTCTTTCTGCTTTTCACAATGCATACGTGGCTGTCTGAAGAAAAAAATCAATTAAATTCTGAACACAAGCAACTATGGAGCAGGCGTTTCATCAAACCGTATGATTCGCCGAGCACCGAACGAAATTTTGCAGTTGGTCACATAGTTTGGTGCAAATTTTTTCTGATCACTTTCCTGATCGTTCATGTGACGTGCAGGAAATTCGACTTCTCTACCTCGACTTGTACAAGAAAATGAATTCTCTCTATGGGTTCCTTCGTCATATATTGATATCAGGATGAGAATGGAATAATGGAGTACTCTACTGTACTGCAGTCGGAATCAATATTTGGAAATAGGTTCATTTTTTTGAAATCCATGATCAGAACCTTTCGAAATGGGCTTGAAAATGAATGCAGGCGAATTTATGTTCTTGTTGACTGCTTTGGAAATAATACTGCTGGGATATAAATTATATTTCATATACTGCTGTACCTCGATCTTATTCTTCAATAGACTAACATAAGTTTTCTGGACGACTCCTTTTTTTAAAAGTTTTGGCAATCGAAACGTATTAACCTATTGAAAGACTTGATGGAAAAAAAGATGGTAGAAGGGGGAGATATGAACTCTTTAAGATTCTTTTATTGCTTATGCTTTATGTATCTCATCGTCTGCTTATACCGCTTCTTTCTATTTTGATCTGGAACCTTTTGATGGATAGACCCTGGGGGAGAATTGGCGCTGTGGTTTGATTGCCTTGGAATTGTTATTACTGTATAGGCCAGCAAGGACTGGGTTACAAAGCAGGTGTGCTGCACAGCTGTGATCCAAACTTGGTATCCATTTTGGGAGCTCTAGAGGTGAAGTCAGTAACCTGCAGCATGAAGTAGCAGCAGCAGAGGGTTCTTCCAGGGAGATTGGTCTACTTGAACATTTATCGAGACATGTGGTGCCGCAAAAGTCAACCTCCCACAAATAGACTGACTAATTTGATGGGAGGTTGGCTTGCAAGTTGACCTCTGCCCCACAATTTGACTTGCTTCAGCCAATTTTTTAGTGATTATGTACTGCTTTTCCTTAATTTTCAACTATTTTGCAATGTGACTTTTTTCAAATGTGACACGAGTGCAGCAATGAATTAGGGTTAAATTGAAGGGTACCACCTGAATGATGTACGCATGGTCTTCTGCATAGAACAAACACAAGGATATGCAACTGGTTGCACAATGGTCTTCTCTGCAGGTTTGTCTGTAGCTGCATGAAGTAGCAGCTACTTGGCTACCCGCCAGCCAGGACAAAGGAACAACAGCAACTGCTGTTACATCTCAGAAATTCAAGTTATATACAGTACTGCTCTCTTGTGGAATCTACTTCAGCATTCTCAAACTCTTGGTCCAAAGACTGATGCTAGTCTTCAGAAGTTTTTTGCCAGTCTGAAGGAAATTTTCAGATGAAAAAAAATTGGCATTTTTCCTAATAACACTTCAGAAAAATGTCCACCTGCTGAAATTAATCATTTCACTATTTTTAGTCTGAGAAACCTTCCTTTGAACCCATCTTTCTAATTTTTGATGATATTCAGCAACAGCTACTCCAGAGGTGCTTAACTGGATGTCTTTTTAGCAATACTTTTGTAGCTCTACAAAGTTTTTATTAAACTTCAGGATTTCACAAAAGGTTTTTAGGGAATGCAACAAATTATATGGGAATTTGTTGGTCTGTGGGCCAAAAAGGCTGGGGAACACTGATCAGCAAGTTCATATATACAGCCAACATTGTATATTTTTATAATAATGCCAATCTATGGTCACAAAATTTGCTTGTGCAGCGCTGAAAACTTCCATGCATTCATAAAAATTCTTAATTTTTGGCAAAAGGTGCAATAACAAGAGGTTTGACTTGGATTTAACCCAAAATTTGCCAAATGCATAAAATTAGCCTCCATCATAATCCATTAGATCAGTGGTGCCCAAGATATGGCCCGTGGGCCAGATCTGGCACAAGGAGGCTTTTTTCTGACACACAGAGCCAGCATGGAAAATCATCACCCAAAACTAAAATTCCCAAAGGCTAAAATTACGAGATTTTCAAAATGTCTCCAGTCAGCATTTTTTATGAGGGATTCTATTAGGGCTTCACCAAATGTTCTAATACATTTGTCAAACACAAAAGGCCAACAGAAAGGTAGGCATTTCTTTGTGATGTCAGTGGTTCTGCTTTTCAGATTAAAGCTTTTTTTTTATCTTGGACTTTGAATCTCACCCCAGCATTTTCAGGCATGTTTTTAATTCAATTGCATCCATTGATGCAGGTGAAATAATCAGTACCTTAATTTTTGAAATTAATGACATGAACAAAAATAGGCCATCATGCTAAGATGAAAATGTAAGTTTCACTGGCTCTGTAAGTAACAAAAAAATAAGGAAAATGCCCTANTTTCTGATTTTTTTGTAATCTTTTGTTATTTGTTTTGTTTCAATTTTTGTTGTTGAAAAAAAAAACATAGTTTTTCTTTAAGAGCTCGTGTACTTCCCTCAATTAGTAGCAAAGTAATGAAGTTAAACCAGCGGCGACTACCAAACTGACTACCAAAGACTACCAGTCCTGAAAAAAAGTTCGGGCGGGGCTTTCGTTACAGCTGTGCGCGGGTAGCGCGGGGATTTCGTGTCAGGGCTATTGTCGTGCGGGGCTTTCGTGTCCCGGGCTTTCGTCGCGCGGGGACCCCGTTACAAACCCCCACTATAGTGTGTGATCAAGAATTTTCATACCCAGTTTTCTCTTCTTAATAGTTGCTATGAAGCTTTAGAAATTTCTCAATATGTTACCATCCAGTAAATAATGCAAGGTGAACTCCATGGGAACTCATGTTCCCATCAAGAAATAAAGTACTAATTAAGGTAGTTTATGTAAACAATGGCATAAAAACTTGTATTGTCTGGTTCTTGATCAATGTTCCGGTGAAAAGAAACAGACAAATATATTTCTCAATAATTTCCCTATAATGTTAACAATTACGAAATGGCATTTCATTTATTTATCGAGCGTAACATTTTAGTTAACCCGACAAAGTTAATTCATTACGGTATTTTCCTGTATGAAAATTCTCTTTTAATCCCAGTTATACGGCTAAGTTAATGGTCGCATGTTTTTGCTTTTAACATGAATAGGCGACAGATACCCACATTTCTCGACCACATGCATCATGTAGAGTCGCGTGAGAAGCTTCTGCATATTTGAACAAAATTCAAGGGATGAAAATATTTTAATGCGCTCATCATCAATAATTACAGGAAAGCGACATGAATTCGTGAAAAGTTCAATTCCATCAAGGACGGGATATGATTATAAAACACAGCAATTTGAAAACATATAGAACGTAGCGGTCTTTCCTGGCATTTCACGCGAGACATTTCGGCAAAAGAATTCCTTTCAATTTTTTCCTCACTTGTAATTCCATGAATTCTTCACCGGATTCATCAATCGTAAAAGGAAATTTTAGAAAGTTTGAATTCCTTTCTGAGTGGAAGGATTAATAGTAATCCGGCCATGAAGAGCCTTGAAACAATAAGGCAAAGATTCCTGGAATAAAGTGCTTTCGAAGATTATTTAGCGAAAGGTAGAACGGCCTTCGTTTGAAGAAAACAAGCATATTTCAGGCATATAAAACGCAGTCGTCCAGCAAGTCTGACATCAGTCATTCAAATGTTTCGCCTGGATTGGTTTCAAAGTTTCGCCCCATGTTTGTGGGCTCATAATGTAAGAATTAATGTTTATTCGTTTTTTTTTTCCGTGCATTATTATTTTTTCAATTTCTTGCTTCGCTTTTCTGCACCTCTTCTTCAACTAATCAGTTGCTCGCTTCGTTCAATTTATTAAATTTGCTCATTCGCGCAATTCCTGTCATTTGAAGAAAATGTATCCGCTGCATGTATATTTGTATTTGTCACGCGTTTTCGATGACTTGTTTTTCCATTTCATTGTGTTGGATGTGCTGAATGTCCAATACCACGCTGAAAAAAAGCGAGGTCTTTGTTCTTTAGCAGCCTCCCGTGCATGAAAACTACTGAATTGTCCGTTTTTCCTGTTTAATTACAATTGACAAAAGGCCGCGAGTATCTGGACAAAATTTGGAAACGCCTTCAGGAATTTGCGTTTCCCGAGTTCTTGTCTGGTTGCTGGCTACCTTTTATCTCCCATTTGCTGTGTTCAATGTGCAATTTTATTTTACATGTGAGATGAGTTTCCCAGCTGGTGACTTACATTCTGTTGGCATTGTTTTCGTTCTAGTCACAGGGGTATGCTACCACTTGAGCGACTTGAAGGCACTTCGCTTTGTT